AAAAAAAAAAAAAAAAGAAGAGGAAGAAGAAAGAAAAAAGTCAAGGTGGAAACAAGAATAACTGCTTTATCCAGGAACTGGTTCCAGAATTTGAGAAAGAAGATGCAAATTCTATGCCATGTCTCAGCATGAAGGAGTTGATGAAAAAGGACCTCAGCCATTTCACAAGTAACCCTCACACATTTCTGTACAGTGTGACTGTCAAGCAGAATTTACCACAGTTAATGACATAAAAGAAGTCATCAAGTCCTTGCTCATTGCTCTCAAACAAGTAATAGGAGAGACAAAGAACAACAAAAACAGAAAGAGCCACAGTCTGGCCTAAAATCCCACAGGTTCACAAATAAGACGACTGAAGAGATTACCAAAAACATTTGACAAAAGAAAAATTTTCAGAGCTTCGCTATAGTTTCTTTATTTCTTCACAATGCCCCTCCCTCTTCTTTATTTCCAGCTCCTGCTCCCTAGAAAAACCTGTGGTGCATATTTATATTTTTTAAAACCAGTTCTGTTCATAGAGGAAATTGTGACGTAAAGAGAAATCAAATACTTAAAGTATTCCTTACCTTGGAAAATAAGAGCTGACTTCTATAAAATTTAAGCATCCTTCAGCAATCAAGTGCTAATCCTCAGTACTTTATAAAAGAAATGGTACAAGACTCAACCCTTTTAAAATGTTATTTTAATCAGTGTTTCCAATTCATTCTTCAACTATTGGCTATATTATTGTGCACCAACGAGAGCACAAATGTTAGTATGCTTTTCTGCCACACATCAGCAGAATTTCCCAAAAGCTGCTCTTCAAAGCACCTCTCCACCTCCTCTGTAACTAACAATTCCTAAAAGCAATCTCCTCTCTTTGTGAGAGTTTCTTCATAGTCAAGAGCATACAATGTTTTAGTGTAATGCATACTTAGGCTGTGGTCCTGGTTTGCATTTAGCTCTGGCAAGTTTCAGTTTTGGTTTCCTTGTGTATAAAAAGGTTAGGCTCTAAAATTCTATAAATTACTTTTTAGCACTGATACTCAATGAGGCATACTGTACACACACACCAAGTGGTAAGCACAGTGTTTGGAAAGAGTTAATTTAAACAGACCTGGATGCAAATTCCCTCCGACACCTATGAGTTGTCTGGCATTGGAGAAAGAGACCTCTTTCCTTATTTGCTACCTACCTGTTATGACCAACAAAAAGAAAGAATATACACAATGTATAGAAAGTGCCTAGCAGAGCACGGCCTCAACAAGTGATCAGTTCCCACTTACCAGCAAGTTTTCACTCTTGAAAGTTCTTCTATCTTAATACTTGTTTGACTGCTTCTAAGCAAACTTCATTGACTAGACAGGAATTTAGTTTTTAACAAATTAGGGGTAATTTCATTCAAACACATTCATAACTATAAGAGTTACGAGTATATGCAGGATGACAATTTAGAACTGGCAGAAAATGTATCCAGTGGTGTACACAGCCTTAAGTGTATGGATCTTGTGGACCATACAAAACTGAAACAGAATTTCACTTGAAGAACATAATCTTCTTCACAATGTTCATGACCAAATAACACATCAGCTACAAAAGAGCCCCTATCACCTTGCTAGGGGATACTGAAATCTTTTGAATCAAACGGTTCCACTCTTTACTGTCTTTGCAGGACAGACTTCCAATTACTGCTAAGGCAAAATAAACGGAAGACAATAACATTATGAGTAGAGCTCACTCCAAAGAGGAACGCGAAAAGTGTTTTTTCCCCCCCTGAAATTCCAAGAGACTTCTAGTTGAGGAAAGAAGGTAGAACACTCAAATATCATTCAGTATATTTACAATAGGTAAATGATCAGAAAGCAAAACCCTTGCTTAAATCATGAAAAACAGCCCAACAGAGGAAACCCTAGGAAAAAAAGTAGTCAGATTCATTAACCGTAGCATTACACTCGCTTCAAATATGACAATCGCATGGCTCTGATCTATTTCTCAACTCTGCCACTCGCTCCCAGTGAGAGGGATTCTTCTAACTAAAAGTCACGATCATCACACATCTAAAGATTGTGCAGGAAGCAGCATTATTCATTTCTGGTACTAGAAAGGAGTAAACTTATTTTGGCTTGCTTAAACTTAAATTTCTCTTTCAGTCTTAACGCACAAGAACCTTTTAAATACACTTTTTCTTACATCGTAATCGAAGCTGGTGGATATATAAACCGGTCCTTTCTCTACATGAAAATAAACTTGAGCTATCTTCTCTTCCCCCATCTAGGAGCCAGTGCCTCAAAGGCCCTCCTCAATGGGAGAAGCTCCAGCTTCTCCTGTGTCACTTAGATGAAAAGATTCTTTCGTTAAACACGGAAAGAAAAACTATGCAGTACGGACTCAAACAGGCTATATTAATTGTAAAGTCAAATCGCCGCCCTGCAAAGTCAACGTTATGAAAGGTTCTCGGCTCAGTTTTTTAGAGCTACCAGCAAGAAGGCGCAATCTGGGGCTGTGACGTTTCCGGAGTCACCGCCGGATAATCTGGAAAAGGTGATCGACATACCTGGAGGAAGCTGCAAATTAGCAGGCAACTGGATGGTTGTGGTGTTGGGGGCTTTCACCGCGACTATCTGAGGAGCAGGCAGCCGAGGGCCGCTGCTGACTTTAGGAAGAGAAGTGACAGGAGCCACTTTGGTCACCAGCGTCCCCACGGGGGACCGTAGGGGCTGGGACGCCGTCGACTCCACGCAGACACTGACGGGAGCCTTAGTCACGGCGCCCAAGGCCACCGGAGCGCTCTCCACCCGGACGGGCAGAGCCGCGGCGGGGGCCATGGTCACGGTCCCGGAGGCGCTCACACCCGCGGAGGGAGCGGCGCCGGCAGGTTCGGTGAGGCCCGCGGGCATCCCCCAGGTGGATCAGCGGCAGCTGCGGCGCTGCCTTTCCGGGAGCAGAGGCGAGGGGAGGCTTGACAAGCAGCAGCCGATTCCAGTGCAGTTCCGGCCCCACAGCATCGCTAGGGAGAGGTGCAGGGGCCGCGACACACAAGTCAGTGACGGGCGCGGGCTGGGCAGAGGGACCCACGCGTCCTGGACCTTCCTCGCGTCCGCGCGGCCCCGGCGGCAGCAACACCTGCCCGGCCGCTCGCCGCTTCCTCAGCGGCGCTCACACGTGCGCCGGCTCAGCCCGGCGCCTCAGCCTCGGGTCCCGCTGCAGCAGAGCCCAGCTGCGCGGCTGCCGGAAGAGCGTCACTTCGGCTCCCACCTCCCAGCAAAACTCTGCGCCGCGGTTCCCCCGCCAGAAATTTCAAAACTACAAACCCAGAGCACCTCAAAGCCCCCTACGCGCGCTCGCCACGGCCCCACCGCGCGGCCACGCCAGCCATGTTTATATAGCCACGCGGAGACCTCGCGCACGCGCACAGGCTGCCGCTGCCGCCCCGGGCTTCCCCCGGAATCCGGCCGTGTGATTGGCCACAGACTAGAATCGTGCTCGTGACGTCACTAGGGACGACTCCAGAGGGCGTTAGAATTATCCTTAGAATCGCGAGGAAGGAGGGGCGAGTTGCCAAAAATGTACCACGTGGGAGGGGCAAACCGCACTTGGAAAACTGCGGCATCCGCGTTCCTCTCCTTCGGATCCCCAGGTGGGTGTTTCTTGAAAAGCCAGGACTGTGCTTTCCACAGGCTTCTACTTTTTAATGAAAAAATGTGGAAGACTGATTTCGGAGAACCGTAATTCAGTAAGAACTCAGTTACGCTTCCTCAGTGTTTTTCTGCGGGCTTTGCTCTAAAGCGTCGCTAAAATGAGCATTACAGTTGACATATTGAAAAATTTTTTTAATGTCCATTTCTTTCTTTTAAATGTTTAAAAATGTATAATTTTATAGTTTGTAAAATGTTGCTGTTTTCATATAATTTTAGAGTTGGTCTCCCCCAAGAGAAAATCTTTTTCTTCCGGTGCTGCTATATATGTCTCTGTCACCTCTAAACATATTTAAATTGTTTATCTCCTTGAAAATTGGGACAGTGTCTTTTGATTCTTACATCCTCAGATACTAGCACTTAGATCTTAAGTACAATTCTGGATATTCTTTGAATAAGTGAAAAGTGTTTGTTGAATGAATCAATAAATACAGTCCAATATGGAAAAACTTGCCCCTTAGAGATCTAGTCAGAGAAGATGCCTTGATTTCAGGCTATTGTCATCAAATTATGTTTGTAGGAACTGACACTGTACTGAAGGAGATTTTGCAAGTAGGCAGGCAACCTGATGTTTACAGCTTCTAGTTTTCTCCCTCCCTGTAAGCTCCAATGGAGAGGACCTACTCAGTCCTCACATTTCACTACGTTTGCCATTTCCCACATCTCACCCAGTCCAAATCAAGAACCCATCTCGTGACCCAAATCAGTCGCAACTGTCCCCATTCCATGAAGACTTACCTGATCACTTCTAGAAAACTCAAAGTGGAGTTGGGGAGAAGAAAACTCAATTTATGGAGCACCTCTTGTGTGCTGGTCAGTAAGAAATACATTTCCTTGTTTCTTTTTTTTTTAAACAACCACCTCGTTTTACTGACTTAAAAAGTGCCATTAAAAGAGTCATTTATCCAAGAAGCTGGGATTTAAACCGGTCTGTCTGATGCCAAAGTACATCTCTTTGTACTACTCCACAAATGTCTGATTCATCATATATCCCACACAGCCCCTGGCAAAATGCCTTGCACATAAGAGGTGTTTAATGAATATTGGCTAAGTGAATGAATTAAATGGAGCCGTGCACCATTTTCAGTGAAGCAAAACTGGTCTAGTGGATTTGAGTCTGAGATCTGCTCTTTACTGGCTGGGCAATTGTTTACCCCTGGTTTTTCCCTCTCGGTATAGTATAGTTCAGTAAATACTTGTGGAAGGAAGGCTCAAAGTTTGCTTTGAGAACTCTCCCTTTCTAAATTTCCATTAGGCCCCACCCCCAACTCACATACTTTGTTTAGGTATGTAAATATCCTCAATCAAGTTACAAAGAGGCTTGGCTGAGGAAGTATACTTTCTCTTTAAGGTAACTTGGAACATTTTTCTCATAATTGTTTGTGTTTGGTTTATAATTTGTCTCACTATGAGAGCTTTAATTTTCTAGTTGCAAAGAATATACTGCTGCTTACCCAGCACAGGTAACTAGTATCCTGAATTTGGAGTTGAGTAGTAATTATGTTTACTACATTTCCTTCCTATAAAAACATAATAAAACAGGATACATAGGGATGCAAAGTGTATTTTATCTCTCTATTTATGTGAGAAAAGACAAATTGCAGGGGAAAGATTATACCTTGATTTTATTATGTTTATCTGTTAAAATATTTTTTAAATTAAAGATGTTGAAAAATACTTAGTCATTTACCTTGTCTTGGTCGGTTCAGACTGCTGTAACAAAATACCACAGACTGGGTGACTTAAAAACAGTAGAAATGTATTGCTCACAGTTTTAGAAGTTGAAAGTCTGGGATCAGGGTGCCAGCATGGTCCCCTGAGAACTCTTCCAGATTGCAGACTTCTCACATGGCCGGAAGGGACAGAGGATCTCTCTAGATCCTCTTTTATAAGGTACTAATCTCATTCATGAGAGTTCCACCCTCGTGATTTAAGCATCTCCCAAAGACCCCACCTGCTAATACCATCACCTTTGGGAGTTAGATTTTCAACATATGAATTTTGGGGAGACACAGACATACAGACCATAGCATCTTCTAAATGAGGGACTAAGTCATTAATTGTCCAAACATTCTGCTCATCAATTCAGGTAATGAAACAAAACTGTGAACAAATACAAAATTTCTGTTTCCCTATTTTACACACACATGGATACAGTTTACCTTGAGCAAAACCAATAGCTAAGGATACAGTTGTTGGGTGGACAATGTCAATTATTCTTATTGTCCTTTTGATTTTCTAAGTGCCTATGGTCTCTTAAGAAAGTGAATAAAAGTTTATTACGCTATAGAATTTAAACAGAAGGCCTTGTTTATCTGTGAAATGAGATCAGCTAAAAAATCTGCTTGAGGAGATGTAACTATTTAGCTAAGATAGTTATGGCCTCAGCTTCAAAGTGAGCCAGAAACCAATGCCTTCAAGTTCTATACCTTGAACCTGGTCCCGTATCTGTGCTTTTGCATCAGAACATTGAAACACTTCCTGCATCAGAACACACCCCTCCAATCCCACTCTGTCATTCCTTTCCTCTTAAAGGAATGCAGCTTAAACTCTTAAAAAGTTTTTCGCTTCATTAGTGACTTCAGTTTTTGATGCCTTCGTTAAAGGTTTAATGAAATCTGAGACACTTTTTAAAATTTTTGGTATTTAAAAGGAATGCTCCTAGAAAAAGTGGATATAACCAAACTATCCTAACATAAGAGATCCATTCACAGTATGAAATACTAATCAGCCATTAAAATTTGCACTTGTAGAGGTACATTTATGGAAAAATGGCCATGGCATATTGTTAAATGAAGAAAGGAGGTTATAAAGTATGTAAAGTATGATCCCATTTTTCGTATATTAAAAAAAAATTTTTTTAAACAATAAGCAGATAGACATATGCTCAGAAGAACATCTAGATTATACACCAAACTTAACAAAGGACATTTCTTTTTTTTTTTAATTTTGAGTTTATTTATTTATTTCCCCCAAAGCCCCAGCAGATAGTTGCATGTCACAGCCGCACATCCTTCTAGTTGCTGCATGTGGGACGCGGCCCCAGCATGGCCGGAGAAGCGGTGCGTCGGCGCGCGCCCGGGGTCCGAACCCGGGCCACCAGCAGTGGAGCGCGTGCAGTTAACCTCCAAGCCACAGGGCCGGCCCACAAAGGACATTTCTGTTTGGAGACATTCTTAGTGATCATTTTCTTTTTATTTCTCTGAATTTTCTAATTGTTTTAATAATGAATGAATAGTATTTGCATAATCAAAAATTAACACAAGCATTTTCTTAAAATATGTATTCTTAGTGACAGTTGAAATCTGTAAGTACAGCTCAGTACTCGCTGGTCTCCTCCCCATAGCATCCAAGAAACTTCACTGAACTTCATAAAGCTGGGCATGTATATTAGCACGCTCAGGCTATGCTAAGCAGAAGCTTATTACAAACACTACCTAAACCTGGGAAGATGGGCCATTGTGTAAAAGTGTGAGTGCTCACTTCCTTTCGTTTCATATGAAGTGTAGAAAAAGTAATGACTGCTTAAGAAGCTATAATCTCAGAAATAATCTTTTCTTTTCTTTTCTTTTTTGGTGAGGAAGATTAGCCCTCAGCTAACATCTGTTGCCAATCCTCCTCTTTTTGCTGAGGAACATTGGCCCTGGGCTAACATCCATGCCCATCTTCCCCTACTTTATATATGGGACGCCAGCCATAGCATGGCTTGATAAGCTATGCACAGGTCCACACCCGGGATCCGAATCTACGAACCCTGGGCTGCCAAAGTAGCGTGTGCAAGCTTAACCACTATGCCACTGGGCCAGCCCCAATTTTTCTAGAAGATTTTGCAATCAGAACTTTTTACTTGCATTGTCCATTTTAGTTTCCATTTTCTTGAATTATATATTCTTAGAAGCCTCTCCTCCCCACCTCCCTTCAGTCTTTCATTCACATAATAAATGTTTATGGAATGCCTACTGTATGCTTGGCATTAAAGAATATATCAGTGAAAAAAAGAAAAGACAAAAATCTCTGTCTCCATGAAGCATACATTCCAATGGAAAGAGACACAATGAAAAAGTAAATGATACGGTGTATTAGATGGTGATCATGTCATGCAAAAGGAAATAAAACAAGAGCATAGGAAGTACTGTTGGTGTGTGGAAGAAAGAAAGGGAAGGCAGCAAAGTCCTCTTGGGCCTTGTAAGCCTGTGTAAGGATTTTGGCTTTTAACCTGAGTGAAATGGAGAGACATTGGGATATTTTGAGCAGCAAAGTGACATTATCAGACTAGTTTATTTAAAACTTCACTATGGCTGCTGTGTGAATAGGGCTAATTGGATAGGATAATTGTGGGATAATATACAAGAATAATAATACAAGGATAATTGTAGAGAGACTACTTAAGGAAGCTACTGGAAAATCCAGGTGAGAGATGATAGTGGCTTAGACTAAAGTGATATCGGTAGAAGTGGTAAAAGTGGTCAAATTCTGGGAATATTTTTATAGTGGATCCAACAGGTTTTCCTGATGGATTGAGTGTGAGGTTTGAGAGAGGAGTTAAGGATGACTCAAAGGTTTCTGGCCAGAGCAAACTGGAAGTATGACTTACTGTTAATTGGAATAGGGATGACTACAGTGGGGGTTGGGAAATCAGGTGCTCAATTTGGGATATTTTAATTTGAAATGCTTATTATATATCCAAATAGAGTATGGAATA